ACTTCTGTGATGACACCATTAATCCTGAAAAGTACAAATAGATTTTGGAGCAAAATATGCTGCCTTCTTATCCAGGGAAGCACATGGGTATTTCAACAAGACAATGCAACACAACATTCTGCATACATTACTGAGGAAGAGGATACAGTAGAGCTGGGTGATTTGGCCAAAAAACTAAATCTTGATTAATTGAACATTTTAACTCTATTGTGATTATTGAACAATTATTTCAATTTTTAGTTACATTACATTGCATTTGTAGTTCACTGACTGGTTTTGTGCAGTAAATATGATCACATATTTCAAGGAAGAGATTTCTGAATGAAGGGTGCATTACTTGATCTTAAATAATTAAAGGAAACACACCTCCGGTATCTATGATTATTTACTCAACATCAACGTTGAACAACTGAAATTGAAACACACATTGCCTAAAACCAAAAAAGTGAAAAAAAAAAAACTTGCACTTTTGGAAACTAAATAAATTATTTTCCATGTTTTTCATATTAATAGTAAAAAAACAAGCTCCTCTTCTAAGTAAAATAACTGTTGTATGTTCTGTAAATAGTATTTTAAACGGTACATGTCCAGCATCTTCTGTTTACAAAAATTTTCATGTAAATAATAATTTGAATGTAATGAAAAATGTGCCTTATCTCTGCCGCAGCCTTCCATCATCGTCAATATAGTGCAAAGTAAGTCTCAAAAATGGGTCCATCGTCCTACTTAACCAAAGATCAAATGTAGCTGCAAAGTGGCCACAGAAGTAAAAATCAGTCTTTAACAGAGCAGGGTCACGTCACTCCACACATTAAAAAAATGGTCCTGGAAAAATTGGGTCGATTATACATTCTGAATGTCGATTTCAATTAACAGCCTAGCCCTAGGATACAGGCACTTGACTGGCCTGCCTGCAGTCCCGACCTATCTTAATGAATAGAGAATGTGTGACGCATTTTGATGTGCAAAATGTGTGACAAAGAATACCCGGTACTGTTGCCCACCTTAAAACTTGTTTTAGAAGAAGAATGGGACAAAATTACACCTTAAACACATTAAACACTTCATCACCTGCTGTCTTCAGTCCCTAAATGTATTTTAAGTGCTTTGAAAAAGAAAACTTTTTCTGAAATGTGTTGCAAGAATCAATATTAAAAATACGTGTTTATTTAAAAAAATTAAAACAAAAATCATGAGGAACACATAAACAAATTTGTCTGCAATGAAATACAAGCCTAAGAAAATTTAGAAATCACTAGTTTATTTATTTTTTATTTGTGTTTTCCATACTGCCCAAACTTTTTTTTTTTATGATTTGGGGTTGTAACATGACTGGGTCAATCCATGTGCACTTTCCATATATTAAAAACTGTGCTCGTGATATTCCTGAAAATGTTACATTTAATAAAAGAAGGCCATATTTGGTTTGGGAAAATGACATTAAAGAAAGTAAATAACAACAGAATGTTCCATTTCGTTTTGGCCGAGTAGTTCCTTTTAATATATCTCTTTTATTTTCTGTCTTATTTTCCCCCTATATGTCATTGACCTCAACTGCCATTCAGTGGTATATGTGTGTGTATCCACTTATCAATGGATCTGCCAGCATCTGTGTGTGTTGGGAGGCTGCCATTTTTTTGCTGTCTAAAGCAACCAGAGAGCATTTAAAATGAAAAACACATTTTGTCATTGGGTGTGTATGACTGGAGGGCCAACTCACACACGCTGAATAAATCAGAAGGTCAAGACCATTACGGGGGCAACTCCCCATGGAGCAACCCAACGCACACACACACGCAAACGCGCTCAGGAAATCTGTCATAAGTCATCGACACCGCATACTTTGATTAATCATATAATCCAATTTCTTTCATATCACGATTCATTGAAGCTGTGCATCTTTGTCTGATTTTGCCTGTATATGTAGTGTGTTTAATCCTGTTCCAGCTGCCTGACTTCACTCTGTGGCGGAAAGAAATGTAGCAGTCATGAGCTTTATAAAGGTTCAACATTCACTACTGTTCAAAAGTTTAGGCTCAATAAAAATTTTTTTGAAAGAAGTTATTGGTTCTGTTCAGTAACAGTACAAATTGATCGAAAATGATAATAAAGATATGATTTTCAGCAAAATTTTAAGCAATGACGTTTTTAACATTTTGTTTTTAAAGCTTAGTCAGCATATTATAATAATTTTTGAAAGATCATGTGACTGAAGACTAGGATTGGGTATAGTTTTAATTTTAGCAATTTTAGCAAATCTAGTTCTTATTGTGGGTTGGTTCTGATTATGATTTTTTTGTAGAGCAAAAAAAGAGCAAATACTTAAATAAAATAACTTATATTTTATTCTTTCCCCATTATCATGGTTTCCGCTACATTCATTCTCCCATGACAGGGCGCCACGCCAAAATTCATCACGCCATGACTACATTACAGCTTCTCATTCAAAACATTTAATTTTTTTAATAGCGGGTAATAATCGCACCAAAACGTATTAAAGGGTAAGTAGATTATAACAATGCAAACTTTTCTGTAACCGTAGAAGTGCCTGACAGGCGCATGATGCATGAGGCCACCAAACCCGACATATAGCCATTTTACTTTACTTCAATACGCATTAATATCGTCCTGAAACATTATCATAAACATACTAAATCACACTTCAGCAGGATTTATTTGAGAGCGCACACGATCTGCGCGCTTTTGAAGCGACTTATATTTGAGGGGGTGTGCAAGAAGTTTTGTGCACGAGCAGAGGAATTCGGCGCGCAAGCAAAGAGATCTGCATGCTGTAGGCTATTATATAATAAATGCGATCTCGACTAGTAATACTGCACTCACGACATTTGTCATTGAAATAACGCCACAGGTAGACCTGTGTAAAAATAAAAAAAGGCCTGCCGCCACAGCTGGAAAAAATCTTAGAGGAAACACTGATTATGCTATAACCAGTAGGGTTTACAGTAACTGTTAAAGGGATAGCTCCCCCCAAAATGTAAATTTACTCACTATTTGATCACCCTTCAAACCTTTATGAATTTCTTTCTTCCGTAAAAAAAAAAAAAATCATATTTTGAAGAAAGCAAAAACCTGTAACCATTGACTTTCCTAGTAGAAAATGCCAATACTGTCAATACTATGCATGTTTTCAGCTTTCTTCAAAATATCTTCTTTTGTGTTTAACAGAAAAAAAAATCATAAAGGTTTGAAACCGTTAAAGCAGGGGTGTCAAACTCAATTCCTGGAGGGCCGAAGCTTACCTGTAGGTATCAAACAAGCTTGAAGGACTCAATTAGTTTGATCAGGTGTGTTTAATTAGGGTTGGAAATAAACTGTGCAGAGCTGCGGCCCTTTTGGAACTGAGTTTGACACCTGTGAGTTAAAGGGTGAGTAAATTACTTTTATTTTATTTATTTTTTTCATGTTGGGAGAATATCCCTTTAACTGTAAGAATTTATAAAAATAATAAAATAATTCACTTTCATTATTGAATAAAAGAAGCATTTACAAATAGTTGTCCTACTGTATATCTGTTTTCCTAGCTGTCTGACTGTATTTAATCGTCACTATTTAAAAAACAAAAAATGATTGTCAGTTTATCCAAACTTTATGGCTTTAATTCTATGGTGGCAGTCTTTTCATCTGTGCTTTGAACTGGAGAGATGCTGCTTTTGCTAATATTAGTTATATGTGGTGCATTGCCCTGGGACACGGCAATCTATTTAAAACCGATAAGTGTTACATAAAGCAAGTTCTAGGAAAAGGCTGGGAAAATTCTACCTTTAGAAACACTAGGCTGAGCAAAGGAGTGCTCGCATCAGGAATCAAAAAAGAGAAATTCAATCATGCTTAACTATATATTTTCTTTTTGTTGAAACAAAATGTAACTCTAATAATGATGAAAGTCTACATTGTGTGTTTGTGAAATGATCTGAAGGTAAGCAGTTAGAAATAACAAGATTATTATAGACCTTTACCAATAACTTCTTAAGTGAAGCTATCATGCATCAGAAAGATCGGAGCACAGTGTACATGAAGATTTTATAGTTCTGTGTCTGATTTGAGAAATGATGACAGAATTTGGATGGACTTATATCTCTGAATGTCTTAACCATCTAGATTTTCTGAGCTTAGCCAGCAATTTCAACTTTGGCACACAATTCATCCAATTCAGTTTATGATTTAGACATGAATCAAATTAAGTCAGTCGTAAAAGAGAGTTGTACTAATGCTTCAAAAATCAAACCTAGCATTTTTAAATAAAAATTATGATTATGGCTCATATGATGATTTAAAGCGATTTAACTAAGTCAGTATTAAAATGTGTATTAGAACTTAAAGAAGCGCACATTCTCCTTTCAAGTGTGGCTTTTTTTTTTTTTGGTTGTTCTCTTACAGTACATGTTTGACAATGGGAGCAACCGTGCGACCAAGTAAAAAAAAAAAAAAAGTCAATTTCGAGCCCTGTTTCTGTTTGGCATGCCCATTAAGAATATAATATTTCTTAAATATAACAACCAGATGATTTTCAAGTTACTTTAGTCATGAAATTATGATTTGTTGCTGTTTTCAGACTAGCGCAACATTGTTCACGTTTTTCACCACGTTCTTTAAATAGCAAATCCATTTGTGCCACTGGGGACTCATGGGTGTGCTGATCTAGAAAAGAGGTGTGTAAAGGCGCATTGTTGGCACATTGCTTTGTTGATGAACTGAAATAGACCGCCATTGACGCAACTGACTCTTAAAGGGAATAAGAGATAAAACTCTGATTGGATTATTGCATGTTATGCTCAAAACACACCCACAAGTCATTAAGAAAATAAGCACAACCCTGTTACACCATGCGCCAGGGCGTAGAGCGTATTTTTCTTCATCTTTATATTTATCATGCTTGTTGTGAATGGGCCTGAATGCACTAACTACTCTATCATCTTCCTCACATTAACACCCTGGTTTAACATGACACTAAAATCTGCTTTATTAATGTTTGTTTGTAGAGTTATGGGAGCTGAACAGGACGTGGGTGTTCCAGGCCGGAGAGGGCCGTCTGCAGCAATACACCATGTTACTGGACGAGACTCAGGAACGGCTAATCATCGGGGGAAAAGACGTCCTGTACTCCCTCAATCTGGAGCGCATCACTGCCCCCCACAAACGGGTACACGTGTTTACGTGCAAGAATTTAAGCAACATTAACATTGTTTGCCCAGCGTTGTCATCTGAGTGTGTGGTACTGTACAGTTAATCATATTGTTTGGCCCATGACAGTCCGTTGCGCAAGTCTGTTTGAGCAAAAATCTCAGAATAATTACGCACAGACTTATTAAATAAATAAAAACAGCTCTCTTAATGCAACCATCTGTTCTCGTACAGTTCTCCAACATTCACTGTTAAGTGTGGTTGGTTTTCTGTTGAAGTTAGGGCCTAAAATGAACACTTAGCACATGAAATTCTGCGTTGGCAGGTATATGAAATGATGTTACTCACTCACAAGTTGGCCAGTAACTCTTTTATTTATTTTTATTTTTTCTATTCTAATGCCATGACCACAGCAAGGTTTAGCGTGATTATTTAACCACTAGGGTTGGACTGTCATTACATACACTAAAAAAAGTCTTGTTGCCTATCCAAGTTTTAGAAACGGCAAATAATACCTTGACTTCTAGTTGATCATTTGGGATCAGAAGTGACTTATATGAAGAGCTAATGCCTCTAGATTACGCTTAATTTACTATAATAAAATATGATCATGCCTTGATTTTTTTTATTACTTAATTAGGACAGGAAGGTCTGACTTTGACAAAAGTCTTGTCACTTAACAGAAATGATGTACAGTATAGAATATAAAGTCATGTTGCCGCAGACAAACAATGAATATTGTGTATGACTCCCATGAGCTTGGAGGACTGCATCCATACATCTGTACAATGACTCAAAAAACTTAATAAAGTTATCTGGAATGGCGAAGAAAGCGTTCTTGCAGGACTTCCAGTTCTCATCAAGATTATTTGAATTCATCTTCAATGCCTCCTCTTCCATCTTACCCCAGACTTGCTCAATAATGTTCATACTGGTGACTGAGCTGACCAATCCTGGAGCACCTTGACCTTTTTTGCTTTCAGGAACTTTGATGAGGAAGCTGAAATGTGAGGAGCAGCGCCATCCTGCAGAAGAGTTTGCCCTTTCCTGTGGTTTATAATGTAATGGGTAGGCTGTTGATGTTGCTATCCACTATGCAAATCTCTTGCACACCCAAACCATTAATTTTCCATTACAAAACTACTGATTTCTGTGAGAATCTTGTGTCCATGCGGATTCCAATAGGTCTTTTGCAGTATTTGTGACGATTGGGATGCAGTTCAACAGATGATTCATCTGAAAAATCTGCCTTCTGCCACTTTTCCAAATGATGAACTAGAAATCAAGTTATTGTTTGTTGCTCTTACAACTGGGGTTGACGTCAAGACTTTTGTCAGGTAGTGTAAATATGTAATATGATGCACAGAACTGTGAGGTAGGTAGGTAATTCTCATAGTAATAGTGTTTTCAGTTTCTGACAGTGCCTCGAATTTACAGCATTTAAATAATTTTGCCTGTGGTGTTCTGCCAAATACAAAAAAAAACAGAAATTAGTTATGTAGTTGTAATAATGTTAGGTTTAGTCTCATAGTTGTACTGAAACTTTTTATTTGATAGTTTTATTTATGTTTGTGTTCTTCTTTTCATGAGTGCAGCATCAAGCAGAAAAAAAAGAGGGTTCGGCTTTTCATAACCATTACTTTATACTAAATAATTTGTCTTTTCATTTTTAGAATTACTCTTAGAATTGTTAGACAGAATTGATTTTGCCAGGCAGTTGTTTCACCAATTTACCATCATGGCAAAATTAATGCGTTCACACAAATTAACCGACTACCGAATCAGCAGTTTTTCTATGACAAATCAGCTTTTGTAAGGTTGTATTTTACCTCAATATTTATGACCTCTCTTCTTATTCATCAATCAACACATTTCCAACTCCACCACATTTTAAGAACAATTTGAAAGGTCCCCAAACTCACTTAAAGATTTTGTACTTCTCTATTCTCTATTATAATATTCTCTTATATATATATATATATATATATATATATATATATATATATATATATATATATATATATATATATATATATATATATATATATATAATTGAGTACACCCCATTTTGAAAATGAATATTTGTATCCATTTTTCAGTGAATATAGGCAATGTATTTTGGTCCATTTAAACAAATTAGATTTATTAAACAGATATATTTATTAAAATAACATTTTAGTCACCAAATATGTTCAGAAATTGAAAGATAATACAATAAAAATCAAGCAAAATATTGCAAAAAAAAAAAATACAACCTACAAAATTAAACTAAAAGTTTATTATTTTTGCTTCTTGATTTTTTTTTTTCTAATCTTTTTAAAAATTTGCATTTAAAATTTTTCTTTAACATAAATTTTG